CAAAAAGCAGAGTAAGGGGACAGGGGAGTGCCTACTGTGGGGAGGGGTATATTAAAAAGGGAGGTCAGGGCAACGGCTGAGCAAAGACCTGCAGAAGATGAGGGAGCAAGCCACGTGGCCATCTGGGGGCAGAGCCCAGAGGAGGGAGAGTTCCCGGTGTGCTCAAGAACAGCACGAGGCCAGTGTGGCTGGAGTGCACGAAGGAGAGGGACACTGTCAGAGACGGAACCTGGGCGGTGACAGGGCCAGGCCGAGCAGGCCCTGGGAGCCACTGCCAGAGCCCGGGCTCTCACTCCCAGTGAGAAGGGAAGCCATTGGAGGGTCTGAACACAGGAGTGACGGGATGTGATTTTATATTTTAAAAAGAAAAACAGCTGAAGAATTGAGAAGAGAGGAACAAGGTACGCAGGCAGCTTCGAGGCCAGTTACAAGGCTACTGTGGTAATTTGGGTATGAGACGGTGGCAGCTTAGACCAGGCTGCTAGCACTGGAGACAGTGAGAAGTGGTTGGACCCTGGGTATATTTTGAGACAGAGCTGCCAGAACTTCTCTTGATGGATTGGATATGGACTGTAAGAGAAAGAAAGGAGTCAGGATGACTGAACAACCAGAAGGAAGGAGTAACCACTTACCCAGTTGTGGAAGACTGCAGAAGGAACAGTTTAGGAAAGAACAAGAGGACGGTGTTAGACATGCTGAGTTTGAGATGCCTGTTGGATTTCCGGATAGCGATGTCAAGCAAGCAGTCAGATATATGGGACCAGAGTTCGGGGAAAGGTCTGGGTTGGAGGTATATGTTTTGTGGTACCTGTGTCCCTGAGCCTCTGTTTTCATTTATAAGATGTTACATGGGTTAGTTACCACAGGCAAAGCAACTTGTGGTGTCTGGTACATGGTACGTACTCAGCGGGCGAGTTCAGTATCTTCCCCTGCCCTGCCCAGCCCCGTCTCCACCTCCTGTAGACCCGAGACTGACTTCCTCACCACAGTGTCCAAGTCAGGGCACCCAAACATCTGTTTCTTCAAGGGATTACAGGGCCCTGGGGAAGGAGAGGGACTAAGCTGTCATGGGCTCGTGACATTCAGGTGGGCTCCCCTGGCTTGTGAACTTCAGGTCTTCCCTAATACCACTCATTTTAACTCGTTTCAATATTCCAGTGAAAGGGCAAGAAAAGTTATAATATTTCCCAAGACTAGATATAAATTTGAAGTAATAAAGAAAGAGCTAGCTGGAGTTTGAACAAAATCCTTCCATGATAATGTTTTATTTAAAAATAAAATAAAATAAAACAAAACAGACTAAAAGTAGTAACCTCCCATTTTCATGTGACCGACACATTCCAACTGCGGATTTTAAAACTTGGAGTTTGTATACCACATTCCTTCTAGAAATAAATCAGAATAAATACCAGAAATTCTGAGAAACAGTGGTTTCTGACTCGGGTTCCATTCTCACTTGAGGGATTATGAAGCCAAAAGTCACATTTAAAACTTTATTCTGGGGATGGTAAGGGAACAGTCACTGTTCTGGGTCTAGAGGTGAAAGGAAAACTACACAGTATTCCACAAAGCTGTCTCAGCAGTACTCAGGGGGGTGTAGGAATAGGAACAGTTTACTTAAACTACTAGTCCAGTACACATCTCCTCTAAGAATTTTTTTTTAAAAAGGCAAAACACAAGTTCAGTGTGTCTACCACCACAGCCAGCTAGAACAGCCTGCCTGGTATTAGAACAACACAGTCTTGTAGTCAACGTTAGGCAGAATTCCCCAAACCAGCTGGAAAATGCTGGTCCAACCTCTCAAACTCTCAGGATTCTGCAACTCTCCAGGCATGGGCCCCAGGCCCCAGGCAATTATCACAACCATCAGCATGTTCTTGAGTGAGATCTTCTACAGAGGTTCCTCATGAAACGTGATCGGAGTTCTCTGGCACTCCAGCAACTGGGGTGTGCTGAGGACACTTCACATTTTTCTCAGGAGGTCAGCTGTCAGCTTTTCGACATGCTCTTCTGAACTAGCACACTCAGTGGGCACCATGGCACCAAATCAGACCTGCACCGAGCTAGCCAGATAGCTTGCTTGCTTTTCCTTCCCTGTTAAATCCTCATGAAAAAGAATTGCGTCAACTGCTTATTAAGGCCTTACTGTGTGTCAAGCTGTTTTTGGCATGAAGAAAACAAAGTTAAAAACACAGGATTCATGAAAGCCCTCAAGGAACTCATAGTCCAACAGGGAATAACAGCACGTACATGTGTTTGTGTCAAAATGAGACTGCCTTTTTAAAATGAATGCGGCCCTTGTGCTCTCAGGTGCGTGTGTGTGTCTGTGTGTCTACGTGTGTGTGTGTGTGTGTGTGTGTGTGTACGTGGCCCTTGTGCTCTCGGGTGTGTGTGTATGTGGCCCTTGTGCTCTTGGGTGGGTGTGTGTGTGTGTGTGTGTGTGTGTGTGTGTAGGAGTGTATCCACACGGGAGGCCCACAAACACGCATGGATAAGCTGATGGAGTCGCCCCAGGGTCCTCTCCTCCCTTTATATTACGTAGAAAGAGTGCTATAATTTGTAAAGTAAGTTTATGTTATCTCATTTAATTCTAGCAACATTAAAGATTTTCTTGGCAAGAATTACCATCCTCACTTTTCAGTTAAGAAAATTGAGACTAGAAAGATCAAGAGACCACAAAGGTAATACATGGCAGAACTGGGGTTATAAACCAAGTTTCCCGATCTCGTCCCAGTATTGCTTTCCACTGCTCTAAGGCCCCACAGGAGGAGGGCTGTTGCGACTGACTTGGCCATAGTTTAACCTCCCTATGGGCAGGCCCTGTTCCAGTCCATCTGTCTGAACCTGACCTGCTGCTTCTGGCTCCTGACTTCTTTCCCACCTGCACCTGCACCTGGCCTTTGCTTTAGACTATCCACCTCTATGACAGTCTGTCTACTTTTCCTAAGCCAATGGTTCTCAAAGTCTGGTCCACAGACCTGCAGCATAAGAATCCCTGGGAACTTGTTAGAAATGCAGATTCTCTGGATCAGGACGTCTAGGAGTGGGGCCCAGCAATCCGAGTTTTCATTTTCATGAATCCTCTAGGTGATTCTGCCACCTGCTACAGCTTGAGAACCACCTTGACCTACACTAAAAAGCTAAGCCCCTTGATAGTGCCTGTGTTGTCCCCACCGTGATCACCAGCCTAAAGAAGCCATTTGTCTCTACTGTGCAGCAGCCATGAAAGGCCATGATATCCAGCAAAGCTCTTCAGGGCCAGCTTAGGCAGAAGCTTGAAGTAGGGGTAGGAGACCTCCCCTTTCTGGTCTACTTTCCACAGATGGCTCCACTTTCTCAGTGCAGCATTGCAGTGGCCTTTAACTTGACTCCCTCCCACCTGATCAGACCCAGCTCCTGTCTCTGGGCTAGCAGTCTCCCACAATGGGAATGGGTCTGTGGATACACATCCCTTTTCCCTAACCAGGAAGGGTGTGAAAGGCTCCAAGCTCTGTTCATCGCGGCAGCTAAGGCTTACTCCATCTAGAATAAATGCTAACAATAAAATACGAACCTCACAGTTGTACTACTTTCTACAATTTACAAACCTCTTGTATAACTCTCAGAAGGATCAGAAAAGCTAGTTTTGAAACTAGCACTAGAACCCAGGACTCCTGATTCATTCCCTGAGGGACCTATCTACTGTAACATGCCAAGTGTTAAATAAATTCTTGTTAGTTATCTAATGGAACTATCATAAAACAAATTCTGGTCACTGTGTAAGGGCACAGGCCCCATAGCATCAGAGCATGTTGCCACATGGAAAGAACGTCCTCTTCACAAGCCCAGTCCATTAGAAATAATGCAGAGATGCGCTCTTAAACAAAGGATAACTTCCTGGATCCAAGGCCCCAAGTTTACAGAACAGGCAGGCGATAACCTTTGCAGCTCTGCTTTTCTTTGTGGAAATCTGATGATCCTCTCATCTACTCTCTTGATTTTGATTAAAAAGTCTCTAGTTTCTGCTTACAAATAATGAAAGGTGGTTATTCTAGTATCATTTTAATGTCTATTGCAGCAACATTTGGAGGGAACAAAAACAGCCTGTAGAGGTTCCCACACAATCACTTCTTTGCCTATCAATGTAGTATTTATGCTCAGTTCTAAAACACACAGAAATTCCATTTGAGACATGAGAACCCGTCAGAGGTTAGAAACAGACATACACATATGTATTCTCTTCCATACATTCCAAAGAGGTGGAAATACGCTCAAGAATGATCAGATAACCCTCTCTTTCTACCTCCTTCATTTTCATTTCTTAGAAACTATCTCTGCTGGAACATCCCCTCCCACATTCATACCCATAGATAGATTCCTGGAGAAGAGATGGAGGAAAGAAAAGGAATAAGATTCATAAAAGAGTCTAATTGGGAGCATTAATAATTATAGCAGCTGAAAAGCTTACAAAAGCAAAGAAGGACCCCGTTAACAAAACATATCAGGGCACTTCCCAGAAAACTGCCCAGCCATGAGATCACTATTAACAATGAGGAAAATCAGAGCCAAAACCAAATCTCAACTAAGCAGACAGACTTGCAGAATTCTTCACCTTCACTGCTAGAATTAGCATTTTTCAAAAGAGCAGCAGACTCCATGAGTTTGACAAAGGAAGAAAAACAGAAGATAGCAAGAGACTCATTCTGAATAAACAGTTGCTATTCTGTATTCATAACTCTACACCAGCAACAGCAGTGCAAATGAGGCACAAGGTGGGGTCCTCGGCAAATTTAGACACGATCAAACCAATTATCCATGCTGCACTCGTGCATGCAGTAAACACCCTTGACCTGCACCACCTCTGCACCTCCCACCCCTTTGGCCTAGATAAACCCCACTAAACGCAGAGAAGAATCCTTTTTTTGTGAGCACCAGCCAGAGCCTAAGCTGTCATTACACAGCAAAAACCTAGCGAGAACAAAAACCCAGCAGCAGACTGATGCAGGAAACCCAGAACATACCTGAATTCTTCAAATGCAAACATGACCTAGTCAGAGACAATTTCCTTAGATTGTCTGGTAGCCTTTTTGGTTTGCAGGACAACCATTTAGTCAGTTAGATGGTGCAAAGTGCAGAAAAAAGAGGTGGGGTTTCCACACTCCCCCAATATTCTGAAGTAAAAGGCTTTCTGCAGACAGGGGCCTGCAGCCTCCAGCTCTGCCAGCTGCTGAAAAGCAGCAGCTAACAGGGGAGGCAGCTAGAAAACCATGTGATCATTCCAGCAAGTCTGATTAATGCAGTGTATGCTTAGGCTCCAGGCTGGGAGCTGGATTAGTCCAAAGAGAAAAGTCGAACCCTGGGCATGTCTGGGATCCTGGGTAAAAACACATAACACATCCTCCCCCCACCCCCACAGAATTTTGCAGGTTGGGGGTGGGGGACACAAGCTTACAGGAATCAGAATGCAACCTGTTCCACTGCCATCTGCCCAGTTACCTTATCCTCCTGTGGCTGTTGCTGCTATAACAATCAAGTATGACCGATGTGGTCGGTGAACAGTGTAGAGTGATACCGAGCTACATTGTACTGAAAATTCTTCAGAACTTTGTATTTTACCCTTCCACTACCAAACATTATCTTAGCACAAATGCATAAGCTGCTTTAGAATCACAGAAGTCACATTTTATGCCCACCACTTGACCATGAACAACACGACCTTGTAGGTCAACCGTGATGAGTGATCTCATTCATCTGATAATTCATTTATTGAGTGTCTAATGTGTACCAGGCTCTTATCAATTCCTTAAAGTACAAAAATTGATGTAATAATTTCAGAACAGAAGTTAAGAAAAAGGAAACAAGATGTCAGCCAATAAAAGAGAAATGTTTACCAGTTTGTAAAGCCCAAGCTGGCAAGATCTGGCAAATGAGCTGAGGCTGTATTCTGAAAGTTGCCATTAAGGAGAATCTTCTGTGTTGGAATTGCAAATCTTTATAAAATAAGAGAAAGAGATCTCAAATAAAAACCTGTGAGTCACTTGACTTTTTTCCTCTCCCTCACATCACAAATATAATCAGTCACTAATTCTGATTCTACCTCAAAAAGGTTTCTTTGAGTCTGACCCTTTCCCCACTCCCACGCCCACTACCTTGGCTCAAGCCTTCAGCATTTCTCACTGAATCTCTTGTATTAGTAACCGGTCTTTCTTGTTCCATCCCTTCTCTAAAAATATGCCAGAGCAATTTTTCTAGATCTGATTTTGATACCCCCTTATTTTAACCCTGTACTAGTTCCTCAGTGCCCACAGGATTAAGTAAAAACATCTCAGCCCAGCACATAAAGTCTTATTTCTCGAACTCTTTCTTCCATTCACAAACCCAAAAATTCAGCCAGACATTCCCAGTTCCCAAAATATGCTAGGACCTCCTTTCTTTGGTCCATGGGCCAGGTGGCCCAGATTATTCCTTGCTCCCTACATGACCTGCACCCTTCCATGCGGCCCACACTGTCCCCTCAGCTGCTCCGTCCCAGGAGCCTGAACTATTCCCCAGGATAGTTGGCTGATCTCTCTGCTGCCAACTGCACCGCATTACAGCATTCTGCCTGCCCCACACATCTATGAGGCTCTCAAGGGCAGGGTCTGTGTGAGATTAATTTCTGTACTCTTAGTGTCTGGTACAGAGCTCGACAAAGAGGAGTTATTCAATAAAGGCTTGCTGAATAAATCTCCTTTTGCCTCCACTTTCTATCAGGGAGAAAAGCGATCTAGTACTTGTACTTACACAAAGGTGCTCTGGGATGATGCACCCCTCTTCAAACGTTATCTCTATCTCGAAGAGAAGTGAGAGTCCAGAGCTTGACTCGAAACCAAGTGATAACGGCCAATAGAGGCAGACGGATTAGTGAGGAAGATATTTTGGGGAGTCCTGTGGTCCCTCAAACCATAGAGCAATCATCAACTAAGCTGATCCAGAATGCCTTCCACAATATTCCTGACAAGTCTCTGCCTGAGACCCTCCAGTGACGGCAGCTTCTCAGCAGAATCATGATACAAGAGAAAACACAGGAGAGTCACAGTCACTAAACAACCCGAGTTTAGGTCTCCAGTCTGCCACTTACTAACTCTGTGATCACTGGCAAACTACTTAAGTTCTCTGACCCCTGATTCCCCGCATGCAAAACTGGAATAATGTTCACTCTGCCCCTGGCTTTCTCAAACAGGACAGTTGTAGGGATCCAACAAGGTAGGACTTGTGGATCAAGTATATAAAGTCATAGAAACATTTTATTACTTCACAAGGTAGTCTCTTACTGACAGCACTGATAGCTGGATGGCTCTTCTTTATGGTGCGGCCACCCTCCTCATTGAAGTGTTCTGTCTGTTCATTGGTAGCTCATTTAATTTTTTTTCGGGGGGAAGGGGAGGGCAAGGTATTTCTGTCCTGTGATTCTCAGGACAAGGGATGTGTGTGTGTGTGCAAACACACATATATAATATGTACGTATATATGTATAAAATCACTGTCCTAAATCCTAAGCTAAAAAGAAAAAAAGCGGTAGAGGTTACCCAAGTCTTAGGAAGAAGAATTTGCCCACACCAAATATAATTATGTGATATTTTTATTTATTAAACTACCTGGTTATATAGTCATAGATGTATGGGGTAGGGGCAGCTGGTAATCAAGTAGATGTAAGCTTCTCGAGGGAAAGGAGATCCCAGAGCACCCCATTACCAGTCCTTCCTAGCCCCAAGGACAGGACTAGTAAACAGCAGACACTCAATAATTACTTGATGAATTTGCTGGATGGTCTAAAGGTCAAAACCTACATTCCTGGCACTCTTTGCAAGGTATGGAGAGAGCAGCAGGGGGCTTAACTCCTAGCCATTTGGCATGGTGGGAACTGGCCTTATGTGCTTTACCCTGGCCACCAGGCAGGTCCAGTGTGGCAGAGGCCCAGTGGGATGGAGAACCTCTGGACTTTGTGCCTATTTTCCACCAGTGACTCAAGAATCTCCTCTTGGAGAGCGGGTTATATCTTTTAGGGCAATTCACAAGGTTCTGGTTGAGAGCAGAGTTGACAGACATGGTGAAAATCTCCAAATCCTAGCACCAAGTATATTTTAGACATAATTTTAGGAGATTCCCCAACTTACTAACAAAAAAACAGAGGCCAAAGTGGTTAAGTAACTTGCTCAAGGGGATATTGCTATTAAGTGGCAGAGCAATGCCTTGGACCTAGGTAGGTTTAACGCCAACATTTTAACCCCTGTGCCCTCTTGGTGTCCTGATACCAATGATCCAACTGCCTCAGGCTGCCTCCAGAAGAGGACTTATTCCATAGACTGTCAGGCAGCCTGAGGCCCCGAGATGGGGCTGGGACATGGTGACCCTCTGGGGTTCTTTCATCCAGCTGGCCCTAGCTAATCCCCAGATTTCATGGCCAGGCAAGAGACTGCTAAGGGCTGAGAGTGCCTCAGCTGCCCCAGGAAGTAAAGGGTGGAAACCTGAGTTGACGCTGCCTTGGGACCAGATTGGGAAAAGCATCTGCTTCAAAGGCTAGGCACTCCCATTGGACCACTGGATAACTGATAGCACCAAAGTGGCAGGAATAGGGACATAAGTGAGGGTCTGTGACTCCTGACTGCTCCATTTCTCTCCTGAACGGCCCTTCTGTGACCACACAATGTTTTATTTATTTATTTATTATTTTTTTTTTTTAAAGATTTTATTTATTCATTTTTTTTCCCCCCAAAGCCCCAGTAGATAGTTGTATGTCATAGCTGCACATCCCTCCAGTTGCTGTATGCGGGACTCGGCCTCAGGATGAACGGAGAAGTGGTGCCTCGATGCGCACCGGGGATCCGAACCCGGGCCACCAGCATCGCAGCGCGCGCACTTAACCACCAAGCCACAGGGCCGGCCCCACACAATGTTTTAAAAAAAGAAAGTCATCCCAGGTCATCTACCAACGACTCAAGGCTCAGACAAAGCATGTTCCTACTCTTGGACTTATGCTCCCTTTGTAACATTAAGGAATAGCCAAATATTAATTTTTTAGCCTTTTATTTTTTTATATATCACTTACACGTAACATAAAACCAACATGAACATAAAACTGCTAAAAGGAGACAGTTCTGGTTGAAGAGGGAGTGGAAGAGCCCCCGAGTCCTTGCTGCTAGGCTTTCCCTCCCTCCACCAGGGACAGGCCCAGGTGAAAACACTCAGCCTAGATGACCTGACAGCCCAACAGCGCTGACATTTTGGGGGGCTCTCCAAGCTACACGTCGTCACATTCAGCCTAGTTAATCTGGACTCACTTTGTCTTTCTAGTCTCCTCTTAAGAATAAAAGCCTCCTGACTGGGCCTGCTGTTGTAGCAGAACACTGTCCTACTGCAGTCACTGGACGTGCAAGCTGCCGAAGCTTCTCCAGAGAAACACACATGGAGACAATGAATAACAACACGATCATTAACATGTGGTGTCCGCAGGCCCCTGACAATGTGGAAAGCTAAATGAGAAGGATACTTGAAACCCGTGTCCTTAGCTTAACGTGCACCTTAGTTTTGCAAGCAACATGTCTTTCCACGTGAAATGGTCAATTTCCCAAGACAGCAAACTTATGATTTGTTGGTACTGAATCCTCATCACACTCCCTTTGGAGACTGACAATCTGAGGGTTTAAGGCCCTGATGTCCCGTGGGTTTGAGGCCTCACAACCAAGGTTTCCTCTCCCACTTTTTTTTGGTTGCAGGCACACAGCCATGATGAATGTGCTGCAAAATCAAGTCTAACGTTCCAATCAAGGAAACAGGAATGCTCTTCTGACATTTATGGACGTGCACATTCACTGCTGTGCTGCATAGAGACCAAATAGCAGGAGACATAAATGGAAATCAGTTACAGTCATGACCAAATATACAATTCTTTTCTCATGGCCCAGTGGATTTTTCCACTGAGCAGAGGGCTGAGTGGTAACAAGAAGCACTTTAGAGTGTCCTCAGTGGCCCACTTCTTCCTAGTCTCCCCTCTAGCACCCTAACTAAGACTCTCTTCACCTCTACTTGATCTCCCTGCCAGTCTTACTCCCTTCCCGCACACAGTCACCTACGCTAGCACCTTCCAGCTTAAAAACACACAATTCTTTTTCACTGTCTGCAGAATGAAGTCTCAGCAACCCAGCATGGCATAAAGCTCTTCCACACACCTCCCACAATCGCCAACCTGGATCCAGGGTGTTCTCCCCGCTGGCCCCGCACATTTACTCATGCGTGTCCACAGAGCTTTCTGCCTTCTCTCCACAATGGTTATGGAAAGTGTGGTTCTG